CCATTATTACCATTTTGGTGGAATAAAATGGAATTTAAACACCTTTTTCAGCCTCATGGGAGACTGAAAAGCAGGACTGGATTTGAACGATGGTGAATGGCAGGTAAACTGAGTTAGGGCTGCCCATGATGTGGGCAGATTCTGTGCCTAAAAAATGCCAGTGAGGTCATGAAGTCTGATCTTTACAATTTGCATAAATACGTGTGGGTGAAATTTTGCCTGGGTCTTTCCCAATTCTGCTTGGCGCATTCCAGATAACTGTTTAGGGGAAACAGTTCAGTGGGAAATTAATCCTCAGGGATTTTGTCCAATAAAGTAATTATTGAGTAAGGTCATTTATTCAACAGACTGAGTGCCTACCATGTGCCAAGACTGTGCCAGATGTTGGGGGAGTGATGATGGACCCAAGAAGACGCTAAGAATACAGACAGTAAACCAAAAGTCATACAAATAAGTGAAATGTGGGAGGAACCAGGAGAGAAACACATTTGCTGATCATCTGTTACTCTGGAAGTTTAGTAAATGGGGTCTCACTTAATCATCTGGAACCTAGCAGAGGTAATTTGACCTCTGAACCTCAACTTCATTTGAGAATAGGGACAGAATTACTGGGAGAGAATGTTTGTTTGAGTGGAAAACTGTTCCAGAGCTTAGTTCACTGAAGTATAAAAAGGAGGCACTTTTTATACTTTAGGCTCTAAAGCTTTTGTGAGGCAAAGAGAGCTGGCATTTAGTGAGTCTCCTGTGTGCAATTCACTTTAGAAAGATCCTATTTAGGGGCACCTGGGTGGCTCAGTCGGTTAAGCGTCCGACTTTGGGCTCAGGTCATGATCTTGTGGTGTGTGAGTTCAAGCCCCACATCAGGCTCTGTGCGGACAGCTCAGAGCCTGGAGCCTGCTTCGGATTCTGTGTCTACCTCTCTCTCTGCCCCTCCCTCCCTCATGCTGCGTCTCTCTCTCAAGAGTAAATAAACACTAAAAAAAATTAAAAAAAAAAAGAGAAAGATCCTATTTAATCCCAATTCCACCTTTTGAGTTAATGAGAAGTTTCAGAACTTGACCAAAGCCAGTCAGCTAGAGAGGAACTGCAAAAGAAGATTCAGACCCAGGCCAGCTGATGTCCAAAGCTCATGGCAATGCATTATCTCACAGTGGGGTTGAGGGGTGTCCTTTTGGGAGTTCCTGAGTCTGCTGGTGCTGTGTGTTATTCAAATTCCTGAATGTGTGCTTTGCTTGTAACTGTGCAGTTTGAAAACAGTGACTCATCCCCAAACAGAGCAGGGTTGAATACAGTCCTGTTTATCTTACACTGCCCTGTGGCACCTGTGTTGACTTAAAAGCTGATTTGTAATAAAAGCAGTGTTATAAAATGGAAAACACACACACCAAAACCAAAATGTATAGGTTGTTTTTTGGTGCTTCTGACAACAGAATAAACGTGAGTCTTATTTGCTTTAAAAAAAAAAAAATCACAGCTACTTAAGGTTTAGTGACTCACGTCCATTTTCAACACAGTATTTCATACAGTCCTCTGAACGTACTCTTTTCACACTTAACTATGATGCCATCAGTTTCTGTTTAATTCTGTAAGGGCAGAGACCTTGAAATAGTCACATCTGGATTCCCCCCGTGGCTTGACCGAAATGTGGAGCCAGTCAGTATTGGCTGAAACAATTAAAGTCATTTCCAGTGTATTAGCTTTTTTTTTTTTTTTTTTTTTTTTTTTTTTTTTTTTTTTTTTTTTTTTGTCACTGTAAGAAGTTACCACAGGTTTAGTGGCTTAAAACAACATTCATTTATATCTCATGCTTTCTGTGGGCCAGAAGTCTGTGCATAGTGTGGTTTGGTAGGTTCTCTGATACAGCTAAAATTGAGATGTTGGCAGAACTACATTCCTTTCTGCAGACTTGGCAAGAGGGGGTTACTGCTTGCGAGCTTATTCAGGTTGTGAGAATTCTGTTCCATGACCTTATAGGATTGAGGTCCTGTTACTTGCTGGCAGGACTTGTTCTTAGCTTCTAGAGGCTGCCTACATTCCCTAGCTCATGGCCCCCTTTATTTTATTTTTTTTTTTAATTTTTTTTTTCAACGTTTATTTATTTTTGGGACAGAGAGAGACAGAGCATGAACGGGGGAGGGGCAGAGAGAGAGGGAGACACAGAATCGGAAACAGGCTCCAGGCTCTGAGCCATCAGCCCAGAGCCCGACGCGGGGCTCGAACTCACGGACCGTGAGATCGTGACCTGGCTGAAGTCGGACGCTTAACCGACTGCGCCACCCAGGCGCCCCTCATGGCCCCCTTTAAAGGCAGCAACACTGGGTTGAGTTCTCTCAAGCTTCAAATCTGATTCCTCTCCTGCCTCATCTTTCCAAAGCATCTCTTCTGCCTTCTTCTTCTGCTTTTAAGGGTATGTGTGATTACACTGGACTCACCCAAATACTCTGGGATAATCTTGTTGTTTTCCAGTCCTCAAGTCTATCTTCAAAGTCAATTTTGTGGTGGAATGTAGCATATTCACAGGGGCCCGGGACCAGGTCATAGAGAGTTTGGGGGTTGTGTGTTGGGGTAGGCATTATTCTGCCTACCACAGGGCCTGTGATAAACATGTAAATTTTATGTTTTTAATGATTTTTAAAGTTTATTTATTTTGAGAGAGAGAGATAGAGAAAGCATGAGCAGGGGAGAAGGAGAGAGAGAGAGAGAGAGAGAGAGAGAGAGAGAGAGAGAATCCCAGGCAGGCTCCACACTGTCCGCACAGAGCCCGAAGGGGGGTTTGAACTCATGAACCACCATGACCTGAGCTGATATCAAGAGTCGGATGCTCAACCGAGCCACCCAGGCGCCCCTAAACATGTAAATCTTAGAGTGCATCTTTTCTAGTTACTCCTTGGAGATCAAAGGAGGGCGAAGCTACTCAAGAAGAAAACATTTGAAACAAGTCAAATGACTTGTCAAAGGTTACTGTGTCAGCTGTAGATAAAAAAAAAAAAAAAAAAAAATCTTTGTTAAAAAAAAATCAGGTCGAACAATTTTTTGGTGGTGGTGGTAGGGGTTTGTTCTTCCTTGTCCCCTTCTTGGGGTGAAGTAAGAAGGGGAGAGATTTCATTTCACCTTCTATAGTCTATTCCCTTTGCAGTATTTCGTTTATTGGACACGAACATCTTCTGTGTGAGGAGCATTAAAGCAGGAGCACTGAATTCTGTGGTGCCTCTTAGCACCGGCTCTCCCATGTGCTAACATCAGGGGATGGAAGGTTATTTCGTTACCCAGGGAAACCTTTCAAATTGTGGCCATTGACCCCGCCTCCCTAATATTTAAGGCCTGGCTGCTCATTAATCCAGTTTAGGACTGATTTTAGGAACGTTTCCGGACAAACAGGTACAAAAACCCTATGTGCTGGGCACTCTGAACCAAATTTCATTTCATATTCAGCAACCAAGGCTCATAGAGGCTACATACATTGCCCACTGTCTCTCAGCGTGTACTAATCATTAAACACTTGCTCTATGCTAGGAGTCAAATTACATGGAAGTCTCCCTTCACACCTTCCCAACTGCCATGTGTTTTATGCTCATTTTAATCCCAATAGTGCTCTGAGGTATTATTAGACTAATGTTGTAGATTAGAAAATTTGAAGCTCAGAGAGGTTGAGCCCCTACTTTTAGGTCGATACCCAGGGAGTGACCTAACCAGAATTCCAGCGTAGGAGTGTCTACTTTTGACTCCAGGGCCTGTGTTCTCTCCAGGGTACTGCCTCTAAGAAGGCCTCAAGTGCATTGCGGTCAGTATGGCCCCAAAGTCCAAGTTCTTTACACCTCATTATCACGAAGTTCACCAAGTGGTAACATTCTAGGCTGCGGGTGCAGCTTCTGCAAATATAGCTTCTGCAAACACATAGCGGCATTAGGGGCATGAGAGCAGAGGAGGAAATGGGGAACTGTTTAGGTCCATCAAGCGTGGAATAACCGTTTTACTGGTATGAGTGTCTCATTGTCTCATTATTATGCGGCAGTGAGTCATTCAGGGAAGGACCAAAAGGGAAAGTCCTGCCCCTTGTCATCTTTTTGAAGTGTCAGTGAGAACCGTTTAGGCGGGGAGAGGCATAAAGTGGGCCCTGGGAGTCGAGCTACCAGTTCTCCATCCTCACCCTTAACCGCCCGGGGGCCCGGAGGCGAGAAGCGCCGAAGGGGTTAAGTGTGGCAGGGGAGCCCAGCCACCGCCCCTTCCCAGCATTGCCTCCCAGAATGCCTCAGGCTCGCATCCAGTTCCCGCACCTCGCGAGACTCCGCCCAGTCTCTTCCCCGAACGACTGCCCGTCCCCCTTCTTTACCGAGGTTTGCGCGAGGCGGAGGAAGGGAGGGGAGGGCGGAAAAGACGGGCCGCGAGAGGTACGCCGGGAAGTGTGGTCCAAGCGCTTCATGCAGCCATATTCTTCCGGAGCCGGGGAGGCCAGAGAGGCAGTCGGGACTACAATTCCCAGCCGCCTTTTCGGTTTGTTTTTTGTTCAACCAAACCCACACTCCCCCTCCTCACTCTTCACACACACTCACACACACACACCGGACACTTTACCCGGGCAGACGCCGAGGAAAGCCGCGTCGGTTTCCGCCGCCCGCAGCGATCCTGTCTCGGCCCCTCAGCAGAGCGGGAAAGCGGAGGCTGGAGCCGTGACCTCTGACCCCGTGGTTATGCGGAGCCGCCGCATTCCTTAGCGATCGCGGGGCTGCCGCCGCCGCCGCTGCTGCCGCCGCCGCCGCCACCGCCGGGCGACTGACGCAGCGCAGGGCGTGGGCTGCCACCTCCCCATCGCGCCCTCGCGCCGGGTCTCGCGCCAGCCAGTCCCCGCCGCCCCCTGCTCCGCCGGCCGCACCTTGGTGTCCGACGCGCCGCCGCCGCCACGCCCCCGCCGAGTTCTGTGCCGACACACCCAGCCTGCCGCCACCCGCCCCGCCCGGAGGTCCCGCGTGGAGCCGCCGCCGCCGCCGCCGGGGAGGAGGAGGATGAAGGACAAACAGAAGAGGAAGAAGGAGCGCACGTGGGCCGAGGCCGCGCGCCTGGTGAGGCGGGTCGCCGAGGGGGTTCAGTGGGGGACGCGGGGGGTGGGCTCGTCGAGCCTCCACCGGGAGGGGGAGGGGCGAAGCCCTGCCCACTGCAGGAGGGGGCGGGGCCACCAATTCTCTAGGAACGGGACCCCCTCCCCCCCTCCCACCGCCCGGCGTTGGGTGGGGAGAGGTCCCCCGCCGGTTGGATGTGGCGCCTTTTTCTGCGGCTCCCCCCACCCCTTAAATTCCTGCGGAGGGGCGAGCTGGCAGGCCGACTCCTCCCCCTCTGGGCGGCGGGGCCCCAGCCTCCCCTTCCTCCCCTCCCCCACTATTTGGCAGCGTCTGGGGGTCTGGGGAAGCTTCGTTTACGCACTCGGGGGAGTTAGGTTTCCGGGAAGGGTCGGAAGCTCCTCCCTCGCTTCCTGGTGGGCAATGGGGTGGTGCGTTTGACTCCAGGGGTGGGAAAACACCCCCAGTTTTGAGGACGCGAGTGGCATTTTGAGCCTTCCCAATCTAAACCAGGTGTGTGGAGGGAAGCAAGTGCTTACTCCCTGCGGGAACCTTGAGTAGTGGTTCTCAAACTTTAGCGTCTTGGACATCTGGGAGGTTTTTAGGAATGCTCGTCCTAGGGCCCTACTTAAGATCCTCTGAGTCCGAGGTTCCGGAGTAGAGTCTGAGTGTCTTCATTTTAACCAGGTTCCTGTGTTGCCTGTAATGCAGGTGGCCCCGGACCACACTTGGAGAAACGCTGACTAGAGTGTTTTACTTCCTAAGCCAGACTGGAGCTAGATAGGCACTGTGCACAGAGTGCCTCTACTTTGCAAAGAACGTATGTGTGAGTCCACTCCTTAGCGTACTGGTGCATGTAGACGTGAAGTGTTGGACAAAGACCAAGTACCTCTGTTTGAAGATACTGCTCGCTGAGAACTTAGCAAAGGAGAGAGTAATTTGAGTGTTGGAAGCTGCCTGGTGAGGAGGGTTGTGAGTTTTTTCACAGCGTCAGAGGACTTGTAAGTGAAATACCTTCCTTTTGGATTTGCACCCACAAAGCTGAGATACTGTGAGACGTGTTCTCATAAAATCTTTCAGATGACAATAGTAATAGTTCATACTTCTCCCAGAGATGTCACTTCCTCAAGTGTCACATAGCAGGGTTATAGTGTGGATAGCATACATTCCTCTTGGCACCGTGTAGTTGATACGTAATTACTATAATCGACTTTTTAATGGTGAATGAAGCTTCATCTTGTAGTCTTTTGCTTTATTTTGGGAAGTGAGGTTCCTGCCTCAAAGGTGTTGTGCAGACAGAGATGGCTGTGTGTTGAGTATTGTTACAGGTCTGTGGTAGGTACGCCTTTTTCTTACCTGGGGTGTATGAAACTCAGTTACTGACTTACAAGAACTAAAGCTGTTGGGTTTATAAGAGAATTTTCACTGGTGTTCCTGATTGTCTTCCCCAGGCACTTGTTGCCCAGTGAACAGAAATAGCAGTTGTTTGTGTGCTCAAGTTTCATGCTTCAGTTAATTTGTTTTGGTTTGGCATGTGAAAATTGGAGATTTTGAAGTTCCTAAATATTTTTTTGATTCGGTCAAAATTGAAAGCTGTGGCTGGCTTTGAGATCTCTTGGAAATTTTAGGATTTCTCCAGTGTTGCTTCACTTGGAAACAAATTTAGGCCTGAAGGAGAGTCGGGGAGAGCCAAAGGATGTGCTTGCTCTCTTTCTCCTCGAGGTTGACTCTTGGGTGTTCGTTGGAATTCTCCTCCGAGTCCCTGTTATGTAGGTGTTTATGACTCTGGGCACCAAGAGGAAATTTGCTTGCCAGAGTTACTTGTTAGAGGTAGGTGAAAGTACCTTTAAATCCTGTGTTATTTATGTTCTGATGGAATTTTAAAGTTTGTCTCAAAGCTCTGTTGGCTCTTACTAGATGAAAGACTTCAGGAACTTGGGGTCCACTATTCTGTTAAGCCTCTTTAGGTTCTTGAACTTAACTGTGATGTGATCTGAACTCCAGTATCCAGATTGCTGCTTCTGTTTTACCATTGGCTCAACCGCATGCCAGATTATCCAAGTTCTTTCTCTTTTTGTTCTCTTTTTGTTTTATGGCTCTTCGTTAAAGAATAATATGAGTGGGAATTACTTTGTAGTGCCCTTGAACATGTGAAAGAGGACTTTTGGAAACATGGTGCATAATTGTGCATATCTGTATTGTTTTTCTGTTAGAATTTTCTATCCCTTTGGATGGGACCACTTGGTGGGTGAGGAGTAACTTTTTAGCGTTCTCTCCCCATGTAAAGAAAATTTTTGCAACCTGGAGTGCTAGAGAGTTTGTGAGAGCTTATGCTGGACATAGAGCATCTTGACTAGAGAAAGCTGTAAGGGTAGGGAGGTTGATTAAATCTACTCTTTGGACAGGTGAATTTGGACTGCTTGCCATGGCAATCAGAGGCACTTGCTTTGGGGCGGTTTCATATTGCTCCTGACCTTGATTAGATTCATGGCTAGAGTGATACTGGGAAGTCTTTTAAAAACTATTTGGGTAGGAAAGAAGAGACTCCTGGAGAAGTTCAGTAGGGTAGTATACCTCAAGAGATTGATTTTTGTAGATGTTAGTTATGTTGTTGAGAAGTAGATACTCCTCTTTGAAACATTCTGTAGTATTGTCTTTTCTAGATATAAGAGGTAGACTTTAGAGGGTTGGATAGTGTAAATCCTCTTGCTTGTTAGGAACAATTTGTTTGGGAGAAATAGCCAAGGGGATTTCCCTTTAAATTGAATGTCCTTAAATGGATTCTCCCTGGCTTTGAGACACTCTTCATTGTACGCTTTATCTTTCACTTTGATTCATGACTGACCATTCTTACATCAAACATTTTTTTTTTCTCTTTGAAGTAGGAGAAGAGATACTTTTTTTTTTAAAGTGTGCTAGAAAGAGACTAGGAATAGAACACTGCTGAATTGTTCTTGTACTAAAAGCTGGAGGCATATACAATTATAATAAAAGTGAATACTTTGTATCTTTTGATGTAACTTCCTTTTAGAGATTTTGTTTTCTCTCAGATTCTCAGGCTCATCCTGACTGTTGCTTAAATAATTGGTAACTGATTTTTCAGAGTCATGCTTCTTTTTAAAAAAAATTATGGTACAGAAATTGACTAGCTCAACTCACATTTAGTATCAAAGAAGTGATACCTGTGGCAGTGAGCATTAGTAGCTTGTAACCAGGGTTTGTTGTGGATTTGTTCAAGTCAGCACTGCTTAACTTGGCTCTTAGTCAGGTTCTTAGAATACAGAGGTGAATAAGGTTTGCCCTTGAGGAGCTTATGGTCTTCTGGGAGTGGAGAAGGTCTAGACCCATGAGTAGCATTTTACTACTTGCTAAGTGCCATTGTAGATGTACAAATGATAAACAGACATCCTGGTTCATGCTTATTGTCCAGGCATAATTATGACTACTTTCTCTCTTTCACTCACAAGTGCCCTACTTTGGAAGGTAAATTATGTGTTGTGGACTAGGAGGACACTGAAAGCAGACATTTAACTCTGCTTGGCAGGGATCAGAGAAGGCTTCCTGGAGGAAGGTGCTTTCCAAACTGAATCTTGAAGGGTGAGCGGAAGTTAGGGCCATCACAGATGATGTTAGCAGGAGCTAGTGACAAGAAATAGCAGTCGTGTGTGTGTGCTCGCACATGTGCTTGTGCACAGGGTGGAGAGTGTGGGAATTGGGTAGAACTACACACAGTTGTTGGAACGTGAAGCTTGTGGATTATCAGTTTGGCAGTGAGGTAGAGAGACAGGCAGGCACCGGATTCTGAGGACCTCGTGTGCCAGGCACCATAGGCACTTACTTCCATTATCTCTAATCTGTTTAACAACTCTTACGGGAAGACATCAGTATCCTTCCATCATAAGTGAGGGAATTTAGGCTCAAGTTGGGTAGATAAGGTGCCCAAGTTTAGCAGGCAAGAATTTGAATCCAGGTCCGTCTGGTTCTATATAGCCTGTGCTTTTCCAGTGAGGTGGTGAACTCTTCAGAAGCTTCAGCTTTTCCTGTATATGATTAGGTTGCTTTTGAAGGAGTTTAAGGTGGGAAAGTGATGAGGGCAGGTTTGTTTTGTAGGGTTGACCTCAGACTATAGCAGGTAGCTGGGATTTGGTCTTGTTTATGTTGAATTCCTAGAATTGTCCCTGGCACAAGTAAATATTTCGTGTATTTGTTAAGTGAAGGATGGCAGAGAAGGAAGAATGCATTTGAGGAAAGTGGGGCTGGTTATGGAAGTATTAGTGAAGGGCCTGTATATCGGGTCAGGGAAGGAACTGGGGGACAGGCGAGAGTAGGAGTGCTGCCTAGGTTTCTGCATTAGGTGAATAGACAGGTTGTCAATCAAGGGCAGAGATATGGAGGAAGAGGCACGATTAATTGGAGTTGCCAGTTAGATTAGAACAGATGATCAAGGGGGGAATGTCAGTACAGACCTGAATGTTTGAGTCAGAAGCTGGGGGAGAAACCCAGGCCAGAGGTAAATATTTGGGAGTTAGCAGAATATAGGTAGTAGTTGAAGCTACGAGAGGTGCTAATGCTACCCGAAGAGAATGTAAAAATTGAAAAGAGAGGTCAACAATGGGACCATGGTAAATAGGGGCTTTATTTCAGCACCTGCTTCTCCAAAGCATGACTTACTTCCATTAGTGCTAGGGGCTCATGTTCTTCCATAGGGAGAGCCTTTAGCAACAGTCCTGTCAGACTGCTTGCTTTACATTTTATTTGAGACAAAGTAGTACTTAGTTGTTACAGTTGTTACAGTGACTGCAAGATATTGGTGTGGTTTGGAGTTACCTCAGCAGCTACTGGTAGAGACAGTACAAAGCTACTGGCCGCTTCTTTTTTCTCCCCGAGAAGGACAGCATTTCCAGAATCTTTTTTCTCCCAGAGAAGGACAGCATTTCCAGAACTTCCCTGCACCTTCATGTGAGAGAGATGCGGTTGCTCACTAAGAAACTGCTGCCACGACCCTGTTGCAGATGATGCCAACGTAAATGGGATGCTCTGTTTCCCATTGCTTTGCCTGCCCCCATCGTGCAGAATCAGAGCATCATGTTGCCAAATGGCAAAATGTACCGTGGCAGTTAACACCAGGATTTCACAACACAGTGGCAGAAACCATCACTTAAAAATACGGCTGCCAGGGGCGCCTGGGTGGCTCAGTCGGTTAAGCGGCCGACTTCGGCTCAGGTCATGATCTCACACTCCGTGAGTTCGAGCCCCGCGTCGGGCTCTGTGCTGACAGCTCAGAGCCTGGAGCCTGCTTCACGTTCTGTGTCTCCCTCTCTCTCTCTGCCCCTCCCCTGCTCATGCTCTGTCTCTCTCTGTCTCAAAAATAAATAAACATTAAAAAAATTTTTTTTAAATAAAAAATACGGCTACTAAACAGACTTCCTTGGGAAAGAAAATCTGAATGCATTTCTGTCTTGTCATTTATTGTATAGCCCTACGTATTCTGTGGTTTAGTCATGTGAACAACGTGAGGTTAGGCGGTAACCAGGGTTGCTGAGGCCCCACCCACGTACCAGAGCATGTATGCTAAGATGTGTGTTTTTAGAATTAAGAATTAGACTGTTTATGCTAATTTCAGTGACTTTTAGCAACTAGATAGATATATACGTAATTTGGTTCCTGAAGCAGTTTTAACTATGGAGGGACCAAATTGTCAGCAGTGGTATCTCACAGCAGAACTGTAGCTAGTGATACAGACTGATGGATATAAATGGAAATTACACAGTGAAATCAGAACATTTGTATTTCTTCTTCAGGTACTAGAAAACTACTCAGATGCTCCAATGACACCAAAACAGATTCTGCAGGTCATAGAAGCAGAAGGACTAAAGGAAATGAGGTTTGTATTGTTCTTCTTCTTTTTTTTTTTTTTTAACAATAGCAGCCAACATTTCTTAAATAATGTATTGTTCTTGCTGCTCAGCATGAGGATTTCATAGGGCTTGTGTCTTTCTGTAGATACATAGGGACATGAGTAAGTGCACATATGCCTCCTCCCCCCCTCCTGCCCCACGCCTGGCGTGGTATGGAACTATCTCCCAGGCTGTGTCTCCTCTGAGTGGAGGGTGAGAGTGGGTGAACATCCATTTGTTTTCATTAGAGATGCAGCAGTTTCCCTATTCTTCTTGTTCTTCTTTAAATCTTGACACGGAATGTGTTCTTTGTGTAAGGAGTCTGCACATTTTCTTTTGTATTCTCTATTGCGCATTTTAGTAATAGAGAAGGGGCAGACCCTGATAGGCTCTGTCTTGTTTAAAACTTCCTTCTTTTTTTCCCTTCTGTATTTTTCTGCCCTTCTTTCTATATCTCTGAAGTCCTTTATTTTAGGATCAAAGAAGGGTGGTCTCATCACTATAACAGCCACTGACCTTTTTTTCCTCCCTATTGATTCTAGCCATTTATCGTAGGGAATATACTAAATTTTAGAGTGACCTTGATTTTAGTCTCCTGTGATGTAGTTTTCCTAAAGCAGCAACAAGTTAGAAACCAGAGGAGTCGCAGGCATGCAAATCAGCAGCTGTCTTTAATCCTTTTCTCTCTTCACTCTCACCCCAACCTGTTTGTTTGTTTGTTTTGTTTTTAATTTAAATGAAAGAGGAGAGCACAACACAGTGTCCCTTCTTGGGACTCAGAACAAACAATGTATGTTTTTGCTGGTTCAGCTTTATCTGCTTGAAATTGACCTTTTAGGGTCAAAAGATGCTCACTTTCCAGTCATCAATTCAAATCTTCTCGAGTTGACAGTTTGTGGGGAGGGAAGACCAGGATTACCTAGATCACATTCATTTAAATAGTACCTGTGCACTGTGTAGTGTTATAATTGTGCTTTATTTTTGTTTTTACGGGCTATTTCCCATCATGCTGCCGTCTGCACTGCTGTTGGACCACTATACCTGTAGAAGGTAAATTAGTCCCTTTGGGACAGATGGAACTGAGAACCTTAAATTGTTTCTGCTCCTTGCTCTTATAGGAATTAGGGAAGCAGTCATGGTAGCTCGTGATGAGTGAGCAGCTCTGTAATTTGTAGACAGAGGTCTAGTGTGTGGGAGTCACTGTTCTGCTGAAGGACTCTGCCGGCATGCCACGCCCCCTCGTAGCAGAGATGCTAGCACACCCACCGGATACTCCAGATTCTGCACAAGGTTCCTTTTAGAGATTGGTTCTTGGTGAATTTTTTTTTTTTTAGCATCCAGTGTGTTCCAAAGCAGAATAAGTAATAGGTTTTTTTTTTTTAATGGCTTTTTTAGACTCAGAATTTATTTTTAACACTGCATAAATTAAGGCCTCTGGTTCCGAAAAATCTTAAGAGGCTTTACTTAAGATCTTTATATATTTTCTGCATACTGGGGAGAGGGAAGAGAAGGTGCTCAGGTGAACCCTAGCACTGACGTGCAGGTGCCACACTCCGTTAGTATTAATAATGGACGTTTGTCTGTGTTTTGACAGCTGTTCTATTTTAAGATTCAGTAAGTAGCCTCCAACTCAGTTATCATTGTTTTGGAAGCAACTGTTGTAGCAGGGACTGTGAAATAGCTTAATAATTCTTTTTCCCTTTTTATCTTTCTTGGTTTAATGTTTGAACATTGTTGGGTACCAAGTCCGTTTGACTTACTTTTCTTTTTATGTTCCAACTTAAGTGATTGCTCCTGGGTAGATGTAGAATAAAACCCATCCTTTCCCCTTGAGAATAGAGGAAAAGCAAATGAAATATTCTTCTTTTGTGTGCTTATTAGAAAATATTTAACTGGGGATGAAAAGGTATGCTTATTTTCTTGGACGCTGGCATTGATTCTGTGGTCTTTGTGTTGATAATATGTGGCAGCTTCTGAGTATGATACATACAGGTTGGAATACAGAGGCAAGGAAACACAGATTTCTTTTTTTTAAATTTTTTTTTTTTTTCAACATTTATTTATTTTTGCGACAGAGAGAGACAGAGCATGAACGGGGGAGGGGCAGAGAGAGAGGGAGACACAGAATCGGAAACAGGCTCCAGGCTCTGAGCCATCAGCCCAGAGCCTGATGCGGGGCTCGAACTCCCGGACCGCGAGATCGTGACCTGGCTGAAGTCGGACGCTCAACCGACTGCGCCACCCAGGCGCCCCCAGATTTCTTTTTAATTAATATTAAACTTTAATAAAAATACTGGGTAATGTGTTTTTTAAAAAGACTCGTTGAACTTCAACAGTCATTGTGTGCTTTTTCTAAGTCTCTTGAGAACTTGGTTGGTATTGTCAAAAGGCACTAAGGAAGTGTCAGGTGTGGAACAAGGGAATCACATGACATGTCTTATCCGGGTGTGATTGATGGGAACTTCATTCGTTGCTGTTTTACTACTTTCAAAGTGGAATTGTTATGGGCCCTTTTCTGCTATATTTCTTGCTCTTTTCTTCTTGATTTAAGAACGAGTTAGAGGGTATTAGATCTTTGAGTAAGTAGGCATATAGATTTATATAGCCCTCATCCATCCTTGTATGTTTTCACAGTGGGACATCCCCTCTTGCATGTCTCAATGCCATGCTACATTCCAATTCAAGAGGAGGAGAGGGGCTATTTTATAAACTGCCCGGCCGAATCAGCCTTTTCACACTCAAGGTAAGTAATAGCAACTCTGTTCTTAAACTTTTAGTGTAAGTCACCTGGTAGGTCTGAGATGAGGCCCATCAATTTACATTTCTAATAGGCAGGTGATTCTGATTCTGTTGGTGCTAAATGGCACCTTGAGATGTTCTAGGGCGAACAGGGTTTTAGGAATTATTTAGTCCTATCAGCTATTTTGTCTGTATTCATCTTTTCTTTGTCTATGTCTTTGCAGATTGTGTGCAATGGAGGGATAAGTATGTGTGGGGATAACTGCAAATGTGCTTTAATTAGGGTTTTGTTTGTAATAGTATTGTGAAAGATAAATTACCGGGCAGCTAAAATAAGACCTACTCTATGGAAAATAACTGACGTGTGAACATACTTGTGGAAATTCAAAAACTCATTAGTGTTTTCTAAGTGACGCTAATTACAAAGGAAGAGAAGTTAAGTCAGGTAGAGTTCATAATAAAGCTTAAATAGAGCTGAAATGAACAGGCTAATTATTTTTCTATTACTTGTGATATACATGGCTGTCATTTAGGAGACTGACATGCTGCCTGCTGCGCTAAGGAGGCTAGCTTATGTGGCTATCATTTAAACCAGGGGTTGACCTACTTTCTGTAAAGCGCCAGATAATAAATCTTTCAGGTTTTGGGGATCATACTGTCTCTATCGTAGTTCTTCACCTCTGCCATTGTAGCAATAGAGCAGCCATAGACCATTCATAAAGGGATGGACAGGTTGTGTTCCAATAAAGCTTTATTTTCAAAGACTGTGAGAGGGCCAGATTTGGCTTGGGGCTGTAGTTTGCTGACCTGATTTAGTCATAAGATGACCTGTTGAGGAAGCTGAAAATTTGATGCTGACCCTTTTACTGCGTCCATAATGTGGTTATAAATTGCAGTAGTCTATATACAGACTTTTCCCTTTTAGTTTCCTTTTCTTTCCTTTTTAAATGTTTATTCATTTTTGAGAGAGTGTGAACAGGGGAGGGGCAGAGAGAGGGGGACAGAGGACAGAAGTGGGCTCTGCGCTGACAGCAATGAGCCAGATGTGGGGCTCGAACTCACGGGCTGTGAGATTGTGACCTGAGCTGAAGTCAGACGCTCAATCGACTGAGCCACCCAGGCGCCCCTTGTTTTATTTTCTTGATGGACTGACTTTCTTTAATTCAAATTAAACACTTGAGCAAATACCAGTTACATCACCTGCTAT